AAAAGGCAATGCCCAAAGTGATGCTGTGCCCCAAAATCCCCGGCAGCGCCCAGCCCGCACCCCCCGTGTCCCCACATGCTCTCGGGTCCCCCTCTCCCGCCCCCTCCCCCTCTCCCCGCGGTGGGTTTCGGTTCCCTCACGCAGAGGAATGACCTTCACGCTGGGATTTCACTTCTGCACCACAGTGACGGGGGAATTTGCATTTGTCTGGCTGCAAACCCCCCGGGAGGGGGGCGTTTGGGCAGCTCAGGGGGGTGATGTGGGCTGCAGGAGGGGTTTTTGAGGGTGGTGATGGGTACAAGGACATCTCCTGCTGCTGGTGGCTGGGGCTGAGCTCGCTCTCCGTGTCCTGCAGGTCTGCGTGGGGCCGCAAAGCTGCCCTCTCCACGCTCTCCATCCTGGTGGCCCTGCTGATCGCTGGCCAGGCTGTCACCATCTACTTCGTCTACCAGCAGAGCGGGCAGATCAGCAAGCTGACCAGGACCTCCCAGAACCTGCAGCTGGAGGCACTGCAGAGGAAGCTGCCCTCCAGTCAGTAACCCCACAAGGCACCAGCGTGGTGATGGTGGTGGTGTTGGGATGGCTGGGGAGAGGGGACAGGTCCTGCTGGACCACACAGCCCCTCATGCTGCTCCTTCCTCAGCAGGTGCCAAGCCAATGAACAAGATAAAGATGGCCATGGTGAACACGCCCCTGGTCATGAGGGATGTGGCTTTTGCCTCCTCTGTAGCCAAAATGGTAAGAGATGCCCAGTGCTGCCTGCTGCCCTCGGGGTTTGCTGCCAGCCCTCCTGCTCACGCTGCCCCTTTGCCTTTTCTCTTGAGGACACGGCCCCTGCCAGCAACAAAACCGAGGACCAAGTGAAGCACCTGCTGCTGGTAAGGTCTCCCACTCCCCCACCAGCCCCATAGTTGTCCCCTGAGCTGCAGGAAGTGATGGGACCCTCTGCTTCCAGCTCACTGGGTCTGGGGCGTCTTGGGGTGCTCAGAGCTGGTGGGAGCTCCTGGCCTCCTGCAATGTCCATCTGGCTGATATAAGCAGAGCTTCACCCCCCACCTCGTTTTAATTTTGCCCTGTCTCATGGTGGGGGTCACTCTGCAGCAAGCAGACTCCAGGAAGACATTCCCAGAGCTGAAGGACAACCTGATGGACAACCTGAAGACCCTGAAGAACACCATGACTGATATGGACTGGAAGGTCAGTGCTTGCTGCAGTCTCACTCTTCCCTTTCCAGGAGCACCCTTCTTTGGGGATGGACTGGGGTGTCCCCACCTGGAAAAACAAAGTCCTGCTGCAGCCAGGCTTGGGTTACTCCCACCCCAAAGGAGGTGGTGGTGCTCATGACCTTCCTTGGCCCCAGGTGGAGCTTGTGGCCCCATCCCGTGCTGGTTAATGTTGTGGTTCCCTTTGTTGCAGTCCTTTGAAGGCTGGATGCACAAGTGGCTGCTGTTTGAAATGGCCAAGAACCCCAAGCCAAAGGAGCGTAAGGCCATCCCAGCGGAGAAAGGTATCAGGGATGGGGGGTGCTGAGCTGGGGAGGGTTGGGACTGGCCCTTTGGGAGCAACCACCCACCAGGAGGTGCCAGCACAGGGCATCCCAAAGGCAAGAGAACCCTCCATCCCCTGACTGGTCATGGGGATCTCTTTGTTCCACGGGGAGCCTCTGTTCCATGGGGGGGTCGCTGGCCTTCAGTTCATAAAGGAGCCACTGCCCACAGGACATTTGGGATGAGTGAATGTCCAAAAAGCCAGAGCACCACACCATGTCCTTGGCTATCCCAAGAGCTTTAGAAAGATCACCAGGGTGAGGCTTGTTCTCCTTTTATGTTTTTGAGATCTGGACAGGCTGGAGAGGGGCAGAGAGGAACCTGATGAGGTTCAATAAGGGCAAGTGTAGGGTCTTGCACCTGGGGAGGAATAACCCCAGGCACCAGGACAGGCTGGGGGGTGACCTGCTCGAAAGCAGACCTGCAGAGAAGGACCTGGGAGTGCTGGTGGACGACCAGTTGACCATGAGCCAGCAGTGTGCCCTTGTGGCCAAGGAGGCCAGTGGTCTCCTGGGGTGCATTCAGTAGAGTGTGACCAGCAGGTTGAGGGTGGCGATCCTCCCCCTCTACTCTGCCCTGGTGAGGCTGCATCTGGAGTACTGTGTCCAGTTCTGGGCTCTCCACTTCAAGAGGGGCAGGGAACTTCTGGAGAGAGTCCAGCAGGGGCTACAAAGATGATTAAGGGCCTGGAGCATCTTTCTTATGAGGAAAGACAGAGATCTGGGTCTGTTTATCCGGGAGAAGAGCAGACGGAGAGGGGACCTTATCAATTTCTATAAATATCTAAAGGGCGGGTGTCCAGAGGATGGGGCCAGACTCTTTTCAGTGGTGGCCAGTGACAGGACAAGGGGCAAAAGGCACAAGCTGGAACACAGGAGGGTCTGCTTAAACGTGAGAGAAATTTCTTTACTGTGAGGGTGCCAGAGCAGTGGGACAGGCTGGGCACAGAGGCTGGG